GATTTCAGGAAAGTAGTCTTGACTTTTAAATTCACTTTACTACAGCAAATATTTTTAATAGTTTAAGTGGTTTCTCTATTATGTGCTTACAAAGCACACTATATATCATACTTTTCATACTGTGTGGCAGTTATCATTTTCTCTCACAAGGGTATAGCATCCAAGAAGACAAGGTTCATGTGCCTTTTCCCATTGTCTATTTTCCCAGTACCAGGCATGGTGCCTGGCAAATTGTGGATGCTGAATAAATATTTCCTGGGTAAATATTTGATGAGACCACCATGTTTCAATTATGGCTCTTAGTTCTCCAGGGGATACAGAATTGTATAAGGCCCATTCCCTGACTTCAAGAGTTTCTGGCCTAATTAGGGCTGGGTGAGGGATAGTGTCATAAATAAGACACAGACACAAATTGCTATACCGAAAAGCAGAAGAAGTTAGATGTTTTAACAGAGGTACAAATGGGGTTCAAAAAAAGGGGCTAGCATAACAATGTTGAATTAATAATAAAACGTTTCATGAAGAGTAGGAAATTTGTGAAAGGCCAGAAGAAATGAGTAAGATTGATAGGCAAAAAAGAAGATATTTCAGCCTGAAGTAGCAGAATGAGCAAATGTTGTTTGAAAAAAAAAATTTTTTTGAGGAGTAGGAGTTCAGTTTAGCTAGAGCAATAGGCATGGTAGTAGTGGAAGACAAATATCTAAAACTAATGGCCCTGTATTAAGAAATGCATTGACTGCCAGACTACATGCTTTGTGATTTGTGAGAAATAAGGAATCATTAATGCTTTTTAAAGAACTCATCTCAGAAAAAAATTATGACAGTATTCTATAATAAGGGGTAAAAAGACAAATTAAATCTTAAAGGCCTGAACTAAAGTAAAAAATGCAAATAAAAAATTGATGGTTATGAAAAATAAAGCAGTTGCAGAAAATATTACTTATAGTACCTAATTCTTATTGACCACTTACTATGTTCCAGGTGCTATGTTAAATGCATTACATACATTAGCTTAGTCAATTCTCATACTGATTCTTTCAGTTAAATACTATAATAATTCTCATTCTACCAATGAGAAAATTAAGAACAAGAGAGGCTTAGTGATATACCCAAAATCATATGACTAATAGTTGAAGAAGCAAAAATTTAATTCCAGGTCTTTCTGACTCCTAAACATAATTATTTCTTTTACAGTATGCCATCTCTCCATATGAAACTGTTTTGAAGTGGGGAATAAGAAATAGAGTCAATGTCTCCAAAACTTGAGAAAATATTGGTGATCTTAACAATAAAGAAATCTGAAGTAGAATCTGGTTTAAAGTTGAGAGAGATTATTATTTTGGGTGATATCTTGACTCATAGACAATTAACGTCTCTTTATTAAAATTATTTTAATCAACAAATATTTAACACTTACTTTGTGTCTTGCACAGTTCTTGGCTCTGGTATACAGTAAGTAAACAAAACATACAAGAATATTTGTCCTCATGGACATTTCATTCTAGTAGGATATATGTCCTCATGGACATTTCATTCTAGTAGGAGATATATATATATATATATATATATATATATATATATATATATATAATATATATATGAGAGATAGAGTATGTTAGTGATGATTGATATGAATAATATGATAAATTCTGATAGGAGATAGGGAGTTCTAGGCGAGAGTTACAATTTTAAATAAAAAGATGAAGGAAAGTCTCATTAAAAGGTAACATTTGGGTGTATGTGTGTGAGTGTATGTGTACGTGGGAAGGTGAAGGCACAAAATCTGCTCTCTTATCAAATTTTAACTAAACAGTATTATTAACTAGAGTAACCATGCTATACATTATATTTCCAAAATATATTCATCTTATAACGGGACATTTGTAAACTTTGATTAACGTATCCCCATGTATCCCTCCTCCCAGGTTCTGGCAACCACCATTCTATTCTCTGATAATATGAGTTTAAATTTTTTGGACTTCACACATAACTGAGATCATGTGGCATTTATCTTTCTGTGACTGGCATATTTTACATGGCATACTGTCCTCTAAATTCATCCTTATTGATGTAAATGACAAGATTTTCCTTTTTTTATGGAAGAATAATATTCTATTGAATTAGGAACTGCAATTTCTTTACCCATATATTTGTCAGTGGATACTTGGATTGTTTCCATATCTTGGCAGTTGTGAATAATGTTTCACTAACATGGGAGTGCAGACATATCTTGGAGACATTGAGTGCTTTTCTTTTGGATATATACCAAGAAGTGAGATTGCTGGGTCATATGGTAGTTCTATTTTTGATTTTTTCAGCAACCTCATACTGTTTTCCATAATTGCTGCAACCAAATCACATTTCCACCAATGTACAAAGTTCCCTTTCCACCAACATTCTCGTCAACACTTATTATCTCTTATCTTTTTAGAATAGCCATTCTAGTAGATGTGAGGTGATATTTCATTGTGGTTTAATTTGCTTTTCCCTGATTATCAGTAATGCTGATCACATTTTCATGTACCTGTTGTCTGCCATCTAACTTTGCTACCTAATCAAAATCACTATCTGTTAAAAGATGTGCTTCAGCCGGGCTCGGTGGCTCAGCCTGTAATCCTCCACCTTTGGGAGGCTGAGGTGAGTGGATTGCTTGAGCCCGCGGGTTCGAGACCCGCCTGGGCAGCGAGACCTCATCTCTACAATAAATAAAAAAAAAAATCAGCCGGGCGTGGTAGCGCACGCCTGTAATTCCGGCTACTTGGAAGGCTGAGGCGGAAGGATCGCGGGAGCCCAGCAGGCGAGGCTGCGGTGGCCAAGAGCGGCCACTGCACTCCAGTCTGGGCAACCGAGTGAGACTCCAACTCAAAAAAAAAAAAAAAAGATGTGCTTCAGTTTTGGAGCTGAAAAATTTCAACTTTAATAACTCTTTCAATATTGATGTTATTCTTTACAATTCTGCTATATGTTTTATGACACCATATTTCTATGTCTTCCTTGCCGGAGAAATCTCAAGTTTTAACCTCTTCAACCTGAAAGCATAGTTCATATCACACATCAAAGCTTTTAAATAAAGTGAGCACTGTATCTTTGAACAAAACATGCTATTTTACTTAGCAAGCAACTGAGGCAAAATAATAACAATAACAATTTTTCCAGGAGATGAACAAAGCACACTTCAAACCATATGGATTTGATCATTTAAAGCAGGATGTTTAAAATTCTCATTTTATTTTTGTTCTTCCTACGTATCTTTAAAGTCAGTAAATTCCTCTTAAATTTCAGCAGCCATTAGGCAACTATCCAGTCCCGAAGCTAAAATTTGCTTACCTCAGAACAAGGGTCATAGACCCAGCTGAATCAACGTTCTGAGAATATTGATTCTCAGCTCTGGGTTTGTGGTCTGTTGCCTTGGAAAATTAAGAGAAGTGTCTATTTATGTCTTTTGCCCACTTTTTAATGGGGCTGTTTGTTTTTTAAAAATGTGGTACATATACACAATGGAATATTATGCAGTCATCAAGAAGGAGAAACATATGGACTTTGCAGCAACTTGGATGGACTTAGAATCTACCATACTCAGTGATCTATCACAGAAACAAAGAACAGAATATCATATGTTCTCATTCATAAGCGCACCTCGACCAGTTATCATAATACTATAAGAAAGGGATTGACAGTAGTCAGAAACTGCCGGGGAGGGGATGGGATTGGCAGCTGAGGGAAACTGCCAGGGGAAGGAGGGGCATACCTCATCAACAAGGATACTTGTATAATGAACACTTGTATGCCTAACCCTGAATTGTACCCCACATCTTTAAAATAAAAAAGAAGGTATCTGCTAAAAAAAAAAAGAAAAGAAAGCTTTAAAGTCTAAAAAGAAAGAAAGAAAAAGAAAATTAAGAGGTGACTATATGACCCATGTAAATGGAAGTATTTAAAAACAGTTGAGTTGCCCACTTATTTTCAAACATCTGAGAGAAGTTTGGGTAAAATCAGTGGCCCTTAAATTATGGTTCAAGAACAAATGCTCGGCTTGTTATATCAGAATCATATTAAGGGTTTTTTAAAAATGCAAATTTTGGTTTCTATTCCATAGGTACTGAATCAGAATTTCTGGAGGAAACACTCAGAAAGCTGTATTAAAAAACAAACAAACAAACAAAAAAACTTCCTCAGATGAGTCTGACTATCAGTGAGGTTTGTGGAACAATGGTTTAGACCAGAGCTTCTCAAATGTTAGTATGCAAAAGAATCACCTAAGATAATTGTTAAAATGTACATTTTGATTCAGTAGGTCCACGGTGGGACCTGAGATTCAGGTCTTTCTAGTTATACGTTCTTGTGATTATAGCATGCCTTGTAGCAACTGTAGCACATCACTCTCACTCACATGAAAATATTTCTGTTCAAACAAATATATTTTTCTGCACATAAGCTTTTTCTTCTTTCAAAAGTGTGCCAGACAATAATTGACTTATTTTCTTTCACTTGCAGCTCTGCCTTGTTACCCACTTTTTAATTTTTGATATATAGCTGAAAAAGTCCCAGAAAGCTGATCTGTCCAAGTTAATCATCTGTGAAGAGTGGCGGACCCACTGTGCACTATGTAAGGAAAAAAAAAAAAAAAGGAAAACCAGCCTGGCAAACACCTGTAAAGAGTTGGCTATCATCATTTAGGAATTTAAGGAGCTGCTATATGGTACATCCCTGACCAAAATGGGAGAGAATCCATTACCATGATGTCCCAAAGGGCCTTAGAATAAACACGAGGGGGAAATTATAACGGCTTGTCATCTGTGCTTGTGCATTAGACTTTTGTGTAGACAAGTCCTAAGTAAACATTCAGAAAATTATTTGAAAAGTCCCCAAATCATGTGTAGAGGCTCATAGAGATTTGTAAAAAGAAGAAAGTTATTTTTATCCAGTCTTTCCAACCCACTGATAATAGATCTTTTGGAAAGAGCTGCAGTCGATAGTGAATTTAGGTTTTGAACCATCGTTAGGCAAATATGGTTTCTCTAGAAAGAATCATGCCTGCTAATGATACGTGTACTGGGCCAGATGGAGACAATACTGATTTTAGGTACTTTATCTATGCAGTGACATACACTGTCATTCTTGTGCCAGGTCTCATAGGGAACATATTAGCTTTGTGGGTATTTTATGGTTATGTGAAAGAAACCAAACGGGCTGTGATATTTATGATAAACTTAGCCATTGCTGACTTACTACAAGTTCTCTCCCTGCCATTGAGGATCTTTTACTACTTGAATCATGACTGGCCATTTGGGCCCGGCCTCTGCATGTTCTGTTTCTACCTGAAGTATGTCAACATGTATGCAAGCATCTACTTCTTAGTGTGCATCAGTGTGCGGCGATTTTGGTTTCTTATATACCCCTTTCGTTTCCATGACTGCAAACAGAAATATGACCTGTACATCAGCATTGCTGGCTGGCTGATCATCTGCCTTGCCTGTCTACTCTTCCCTCTCCTCAGAACCAGTGATGACACCTCTGGCAATAGAACCAAATGCTTCGTGGATCTTCCTACCAGAAATGTCAATCTGGTTCAATCTGTTGCCATGATGACTATTGGCGAGATAATTGGATTTATAACACCACTTCTGATTGTCCTATATTGTACCTGGAAGACGGTTTTATCATTGCAAGATAAATATCCTGTGACTCAAGATCTTGGAGAGAAAAAGAAAGCCTTGAAGATGATTTTAACTTGTGCAGGAGTGTTTCTAATTTGCTTTGCACCTTATCACTTCAGTTTTCCTTTAGATTTTCTGGTCAAGTCCAATGAAATTAAAAGCTGCCTAGCCAGAAAGGTGATTGTAATATTTCATTCTGTGGCCTTGTGCCTAGCTAGCCTGAATTCATGCCTTGACCCAATTATATACTACTTTACCACTAATGAGTTCAGAAGACGACTTTCAAGACAAGATTTGCATGATAGCATCCAACATCATGCAAAATCCTTTGCAAGTAATCATACCACTTCTACCCTGGCAACTGAATTATGCTAAACAAACAAACAAACAAGCAAACCTGATTGTGGCCTGAAATGCGAGTACATCAGAACACATTTGCAATACTCCAAGCCATAGAGGAGAACTCACAAGAAGCACTCTCAGCGGCTTTTCAGTTATGCTATATCTTACCTATATGGGGAATTCACATTTTCATAACAGGACTTATTTGGAGCATTGTACTTCACCACCACTGACATTAACATGCTCATGTAGTAATTTGTCATCAATTCTTCAAGAATTAAACTAAAATTTCAGTGACATCCTATACACATATGCTTTCAAATAGAGTCAACAGTTTTATATGTGAACCTAAGGCACAGACAGATTGTCAACTTGGGGTCATCATAAGCATGTAATTTTGCTACAACAGACACTGAGTCTCTGTATTCAGAGGAAATGCATATTTATATTGGCAATCACAGTTTGCATTCTAATATCATATCTTTGGTTGTATTTTTAGAAGGATAGACAATAATTAGTTTGTATAAACAAAATTATATCAACATAGGATCATTTTTATATCACACGTGCGACTACAACTCAGGGTTTGAAGACTCAAATAGCTATATTATTCATTCTGGTGTGAACATGAAACATCACCTGCCATACCTATTCATAGAATAAAAATCTTAATTCAGGCCTCTAATATGTTTAAACTAAAAACAATACACACGTTTGAATACCGTAACTGTCGGTAACTGTATAAAGTACCATACTGCATCTACCCAGGGCACGTAGTTTGCCGAATTCCATCAACGTGACCCAAATAACCTCTAGTCTCAGGAGTAAGCAGATAGGTGACAATAACAGCTCTGACTCTCTTAAATTATTTCCAAGGAACACCTATGGAGATGTATGGATCTACCTAGTATAGGGAGTTTCCACCATGCTTCTGGAGTGATGTTGAGGTAACTCCGACAGATTACTATACTTTCTGAGCCTATGGAAGAAGTAGTACACTAATAAGTCACTAAGCTTAGGCCAGAGTGAAATGATGAGGCAAAGTTGGTTAATCCTTTTAAAATTTTTACCACATTGTATTTCTTACCCTAAGATAGAGTAAGCTCAGATTGTCAAGCCACCTACACAAGTCAGAGTGGGATTCTCTGCCCCATCATTGCAAATGCATGCCTTCTCTCCCATCATTTCAGTTGTTCCAATGGATTCTAGAATCTGCATTGGTTTTTTTTTTTGTCCCAGTTTTGCTCTAGCCACATCATTCTAAAACCTGCACAGTCTAACTCCTAACAACTGGGAACAGCAATTATTTCACCTTTTGAGAAAAGTGCAGAAGATTAATTTTGTCAGACTTGAGCACCCAGTGACCAATGACTTGCTTGCTATCTGTTTGATAATGTTATACAGGAATATGTGTAATAAATAAACTTGAGGTTGTATTAGAACACTTTAAGACACGTCTTAGTAAAGAGCTCTAACTTTAAAAAATGCTTTACTTAAAATCTGTGGGCCATATAATGAAGATATATTCTATTTCTCAGCTAGAATGAATGCAGACATCAATAAAAAACTTTAGTATATTTAGAGAAAGTGGATTTTTTTAAACACTCAGTTATGATATTAATATATTTGGGGGGGAAATTGATGAAATCAAAATGTATTCTATTATCCAAGATTAATAGAAAGTTTTCTTTGGACAGGTATTGATTTTGCTTGTACTTTGTTTTTAAGATAATACCCCATTTAAAAACTGACTTTGTGCTGCTAGTGATAGTATATCTATGTATCTCCTAGTTATGTATTGTAAGGTACATGTTTTCATGTGTTAAATAAGTTTCAAATGTGTGTTAAATTGTATTTTTAAAAGGGCAACTATAACTTTCTGGTTGGTTTCCTTTAAAGTGATTTGTGCTTGACTGTAATTTAATGTCGTAATGGAATTGCAAGTAAAAATTTTGTGGAACTGTGATTCAACTGTGGGCATGTGTAATGGGAGTGTCTTGTCTATAATATCTGTGCTTATTATTTTCTATAACAGCATGAATTACACTTCTTTTCTTATTTTAAAGATGTGGGGTACAATTAAGGGTTAGGTGCATAAGTGGTCATTGTACAGGTGAATTACATATCTTAAGGTCACTTTGGAAGACCATTGATTTAATTTTATTAGCATATGATTTCACTTTAAATATATCTTTTTTTAAAGGGGAAGGGAAATATTTTCAGAATATTGTTGTCCTTCTTAGAAGAATTATTGAGGGGAAAGTCCATTTGTTAGGCAATCCATTTACATAATTTAATTAAGGAGAGGACCAAATGTTCAATGTTCTTATGTTGCTTAGATAAGGCACCCTTCTTCCCAACTCTGCCCGTTCAGATTTATATTTAGTGTTCTAATTTACTTTATCCATCCCCATTGCTCCCTTGTTCTTCTAGGCAGTGAGGGAATCAACTAATTCACACTAAGGTGCTAATGAATAATGTCAGGTTAATATTCAGTTACCCTGGGATATCTGAATTCCAAGCCTTAGTACTATGCATTAACCAAAAGTGGTGATTTTTAATGGACAGTTTATAAATACTGACGCAGACATTAGAGGGAAAGCTATTTTGAAGAAAGTGGTTCGTGCAACAGTGCTTTTCAGATTGCATATAGTGAGCAGCAACATATTTTCCTTACCATAACAGGGATGCTAAATTCTAAGAAATCTATCCATAAGCATGGCTGTCAGTTTTCAGATCTCTGCTTGTTTTCTTTTCCTTTTTACCTCTCTCCATTCTAACTCTGGACCTGATTTTCAGGGGGAAAGTCTTAATTAGTAGAAGAGTACTGCTGCAGCTAATATTCAGCCAGGAGTCTCCTCTCTGATATTCTTCATTTCTTGGGAAATCTCTCCAGACTCACAGTTAGCATTCTTTAGCTTCCATGAAATTTGAGAATAGAGTTAACATGTCCAACTACAGTAATATACAATTCAAGATAAATAACTCCACATTTTCTATATAAAGTTGTTTGAATTTTGATTCCAAAACACACATACACACACACACACACACACACACACACACACACACACACACACACAAATATTCCAATAAGAGATTTTGGATATAGGGTGATTTTCATGTTATATTATTGTCATTACTCTTATTATTATTATATCCAAATGGTTTGTATGTTTTCATTGTCACCCAGTTAAGTAGCTAAGTATAATTACTAGTAATTTCATGAAGGGGAGCCATATGCCCCAAGAAATACAGACCAATCTACCTTGGTCTAGAAGGGTGCATCAGTGGAACTCCTCTGCAACTTAATTTTTATGCAAGCTTTTTGTATTTAGTCCCAAAATACTGTGAAAATGTGACACTTTGAATTTACTTACTGCTATAACTTATAATATGCCTTTAATAATAAAGCTTGTCTCTGTAATTAATAGAAATTTTCTGCCTCCAGAATTCAATGTGTATTTAGTCACTTCTTTAAGCAAACCGATAGACTTGAAAATCTTTTTGATGTTCTCACAGATATGAATAAAAGTCTCCTGAGGCTCTACTTTCCCTTTCTCTTGCTAGGAGAGGTGTGTTTTATTTTCCAAAAAAAAAAAAGAACCACTCTTCCCACTTTACCCCACTTTTGCTCCTAACAATTCTCATAGATAAGGGTTTTATTATCCACAACCTACTAAAATAATTCCTCACCCTCACTGTGGACCAAGCTTACTTGAACTGCTCAAAGCTCTATATTTGTAATGCTTAGACAGAGGTAAAGTTTTCTTCTTAGTTGGTTAAGTTTTCTTCTTAGGTTGTTAAGACCTGGCAGTCTGATCATTCTTGTGGACTGGCAGGGAAGGAAAACCTAACATCCACTGTCCTCCCCCTCTGCCCTTCTCAAAGCAGATCTAATTAAACTAAAATCTCTCAGTCTGTCGCTCTTCCTTCTACTTCAGCAATTTCCTTTTAGTCTCAGGTATCTTCTATAATAAGCAAGTTGTTAGGAATTGCACATTTTGGCTGTTATAAAATGACTTTCTTAGGAAGTGGTAAAGGGTTTTTCGGCCAGGCATGGTGGCTTGCACCTATAATCCCAGCACTTTGGGTGGCTGAGGTGAGATGATTACCGGAGCCCAGGGGCTCGAGACCAGCCTGAGCAACTTGGTGAGACCTCATTTCTACAATAAATCAAAAAATTAGCCGGGTGTGGTGGTGCGTGCCTGTAGTACCAGCTACTCGGAAGGCTGAGGAGGAAGGATCATCTGAGCCCAGCAAGTCGAGGCTATGATGGCCGTGAGCATGCCACTGCACTCCAGCCTGGGCGAAAGAGTGAGACTCCAACTCAAAAAAAAAAGAACAACAAAAAAGGGTTTTTCAAGGAAGAATTTCTGATTCTTTGGTAGACATGAAAATAATGAGATATAAATACTAAACATGCCTCCATGCTTCGAATGCCCTTAAATTCTATAGAGACCTCTTTGTTCTCGAGAGGTAACTTTACTATCTCCACTATCATATTTTGCTGAAGTGGTGGGGGTGGAGGAGGATGGAGTGAGAGATAAACTGTCATTTAAATGTGGTTGTTTTACTTATTCCTCAAGCTATTAAAGGATGTGGGGCGTAGGGGGTGGAGGAGATCGAGTTGTAACTTTATTGAACTTCACAGACCATTTTCTCAGGAGAACTTCTTTAGCTTTAATCACTATTTGATTATATCAAGTAGTTCAAGAAATATAAATATACCAAGATCATATGTCTTCTATTGTTTGTTGACTAAATTCTCTTCATCTTGCTCCTTACTGCTTATCTTCTGATTCACCTATAGGCATAACTTTATTCAAAGCCTTACAATTGCTTTCTTATATCTTTTCAAAGAATAATAAATCAACTGCTTCTTGGGGAAGGCTGCTATTTGGCCCATTCACCTGACTCTAATGTCTACTTTTATTGCAGAAACTCTTCCAAGTTTGATTCTGGCTCATTTTATTTTATAAAATTACTACTTTTTTTTCTAATGAAGCAATACCTCCTCTACTCCCCTGGGGTTATCCAAACCATCCTACATTACCTGTACTGACAGCAAACGAAGCAGTAGTTTGTAGGAAAAGGTTATGATAATGTATGGACAAGTTTAACATCAGCAAGATGGGGAATCAAAGAGGAGGGTGTGAAGAAAGACTGCATTGGTCAGTGTCCCACTTATATTTTCTTTACCTATTCTCAGAAAGAATGCAACACTCCCTTTTCTGACCTCCCATCCATGAGTCTACTCAGATATAAA